GGGGCGGGCGCGGGCCGCTCGCCGCCCGCCGGGGGCGACGCGGGGCTCTTTCCAACCCAAGTTGTCCAAACAGCACGCGTGCAGGGGTGGGGGTGACCCCTCAGGGCACCTCCTTCTCTCCACGGAGATTCTCTCTCTCTCTCTCTCTCTTCAGAAACTTGAGTTCAGCTCTTGGTTCCATGTCCCCAACGACATCTTCTCAGATCTTAGCCAGGAAGAGACGGAGAGGAGTGAGTCTTTACAATGTTCTTTTCTTTTTAATGGGGGGGGGGGGGTTTGCTGTTAATTAGCGTTCAGAATCACGCTTCTTTTCGGAACTGACAGTCGTGATGGAAATGTTCTCCTTTGTTTTGCCTGCTTCCCATAGATCATCGAGAAGCGCCGACGAGACCGGATCAATAACAGTTTGTCTGAGCTGAGGCGGCTGGTTCCCAGTGCTTTTGAGAAGCAGGTAATGGAGAAAGTAGGTAGAACTCTCCGTGTGGTTTTCTGCACCTTCTGAATCCTTCCCTGCCCCCACTCCCATCCGAACCCTATTCGTGCCTTGGAAAATAGCCATATTGTGCGTGATGAATTCATACATCGATACCAACGGCATTTGTGAAAGCAAACTGCTTTTGCTTTCAATCACACTTCTTGATGTACAGAGCATGTACATGTGGGTCTATGTGTGTGCATATTTTAAGTCCTCTACTTTTCTATTCTCATCTTTTAGGGGTCTGCTAAGCTAGAAAAAGCTGAGATCTTGCAGATGACCGTGGATCACCTGAAAATGCTTCACACTGCAGGAGGGAAAGGTACAGCCCATGAATCCTGGTGGGGGCTCTGCGTGGTTGGGGTGGAGGGAGCTGTAGGCGCAGGCCAGGATTGGTGCAGTGATGGCCTGCTTTTGCTCTGGGGGTGGGGAGAGAACAGTGTGTGGCTGCCTGTCAGTGCATCTTCAGCTGCGCAGGAGATTTTCCTCCGGTGAATTCCTCACGCTAGCCTGCTGCAAATTGAGCTAATGGGTCTTTCAGAACATGTCAACTGTGACATACTCGAAAGTTGTGAGGACCCTGATTCTAATCAGGTAGTTTTCACATTTGTCCACTGCTATTTTGAGAAAAAAGCTTGAGAAATAGATGATAATTATTTTGAAGTATATGGATGGGTCTTGATTTCACATACAAGATTTTGAAAAGGAGCTGCCAAGTGACTCTGGAGAAACGAAACCTGTTGTGGTTTTAAGTAGAGAAAATCCTAACAGAAGGTAGGAGAGCAAGGTCTTGAGTGTCTGTCTCCAGCCGGAGAATGAATGCTCTGCTGAGGACCACAGTGCCTGAAGAGTTCCACGATGATAACTTACATCTGTGTGTCTAATGAATTTCACTGCTCTGTGGTTTCTCTGTCCTTGATGTATTTTTTGTTGTTGTTGAGTGAAAACATTAAAGGATGAACATAGTTTCATCTGCTGGGAGAGTATAATTCTAGTTTCTGCTCAGCAACTTCTAATTGAGCTTTGAACTTGCATGAGCAATGTTGATTAATGCAAAGATTTTCGTCAGCTCCAAAATATGAATTTCCAGAACCCCTGAGTGCCATTTTTCTCTCTCTCTGTGTGTGTTTGTGTGTGTGTGTGTGTGAGAGAGAGAGTGTGTGTGTGTACTGGGGCTTGAAGACCCTGGGCTCTGTCCCTCACCCAACTCTGTCACTATACCACTTGAGCCACAGTTACACTTGTGACTTTTTGCTGGCTAATTGGAGATAAGAGTCTCACAGCCTTTTAACCATGATCCTCGGATCTTGGCCTTCTTAGTAGCTAGGATGACAGGCGTGGACCATTGGCACCGGTTTGAATGAATGCTCTTTTAGTGCTGTGGGTATTTGGAGGCAGGCTGCCTGTGCGGTGAAAGAAATGCGGGGGGGGGGGGGGGGAAAGGGGGGGGGGAGATTGAAAGGATCGAAGCCCTGAGGTTTTTCTTTTGTTCTGTCCTCCAGGCTATTTCGATGCGCACGCCCTAGCTATGGATTACCGGAGTTTGGGGTTTCGGGAATGCCTGGCGGAAGTCGCCCGTTACCTGAGCATCATCGAAGGACTAGATGCTTCTGACCCTCTCCGCGTCAGGCTGGTGTCGCACCTCAACAACTACGCCTCCCAGCGGGAAGCGGCGACTGGCGCGCACGCGGGCCTTGGACACATTCCCTGGGGAAGCGCCTTCGGACATCATCCGCACCTCGCGCACCCGCTCCTGCTGCCCCAGAACGGCCACGGGAACGCGGGCACCGCCGCTTCGTCCACCGAGTCTCACCATCAGGGCAGGTTGGCCTCCGCGCATCCAGAGGCGTCTGCCTTGCGAGCGCCCCCTAGTGGCGGCCTTGGACCGGTGCTGCCCGTGGTCACCTTGGCCTCCAAACTGTCCCCGCCTCTGCTCTCCTCGGTGGCCTCGCTCTCTGCCGCCTTCCCCTTCTCCTTCGGCTCCTTCCATCTACTCTCTCCCAATGCACTGAGCCCTTCGGCACCCACGCAGGCTGCAAACCTTGGCAAGCCCTATAGACCTTGGGGGACAGAGATTGGAGCCTTTTAAAAAGAACTCTAGAATGAGGGGAGGGGAAAGTTTTAAGAATCCCAGTTGAGCTGGACTATTGCCAACATCACCTTAAAAGTCGTCAGTAAAAGTTTAAACAAAAAGAAAGGAAAAAGGTACATTTTCAGATACTTTTTGTTAAAGACTAAAGGTTTGTTGGTTTACTTACTTTCTTCTTTTTACATTTTTATCATGTCATGTATTAGCAGTTTTTAAAGACTAGTTGTTAATTTTTGTTTAAAACATTAAATTTGGGGTAGTGATTATCCACACCACCACATCGTGATAGGTTTGTATTGTGCTTGATAATACTTTGTAAGCCTGTCTAAAAATGATTCCATTTTTGCCTCAAAATTTGTTTTGGGTCTCTTTTAACATTTAGTGTTTTGGGCCTGTTTTTCTTATATACTTGTGGTCTGTTTTTAGGATTAATTTTCCAAACCACTATGCTCAATGTTAAAATGATTCTGTTTGTTAATATTTTGACAGATTAAAGTGATGTATAAATAATATTCTTTGGGGGAGGGAAGCTATACTGAATTTTATATTTCCAAACAAAGCGTTGACAAATCAGATGATGAGCTTTATCCAAGAATGAAGACTTAAAGAATATTCTCTGCCTCCTCCAGCACTCAGGCGAATATACAAACTAGCAAAGTCCTGAATCTGTAGGACCAAGTGCTGTTGTCTGCAAGACTTGCCATTCTGGCAATTTCACACTTAGGAAAGAGTCACTGGTGAGTGATGGCAGGGAAGACACTGAAGTCGATTGTAGAGAACATGCCTGCATTTACCAGTCCCAAGCAATGCAATGAATATTCAATCTCACGGATCTCAAATTCTCAAGTGTTCAACCTGGATAAGAGATCACGGTATGCAGGTGGTCAATTGGATAGTGGAGTGGAACCTGTTAAATGCATCACCTAGCTTTCCTGGAACGGCCACATTTTCTTTTAACTGGAAATGTTTATGTTGTTTCCCTGTGGGTGCATGGAAATGTGGTGGTTGAGATACTGAAAAGGGCTATGCTGCCAGCTTCTTTGATTTATTTAATTTGGTCTATGAAAGTGTCCTTTTTACAGGCTTGTTCCTTTAGCAGGTGTAGTTTCAACAACCTCCACTGAACTGGGTTTGACCTCTGTTGTACCATGTGTTGTAACTAAATAAAAAGAAAACAAAAGTATTCTGCTGTTTGGATATGGCTCACATTGGCCTCCATTTTTTGGCTAACCAAAGTTAAATCACCTTTTGTTTTTGTCTACCGATTAGTTTGCATGTATGTACCAATATCATTTTTCTTGGGCTTGTAGATGGTTTGAGTGTGTGCTATTAAATAAGGTGACTTCATTGTGATGCAGAACGTTGGGTAGTGGTACAGACACTGTGTCAATGACATTGTGTCATTTCTGCTGTTAAGTCAGATGACCTGGCCCTACATTGGCCATTTATGGACAATGAAGACACTGAAATCAGACTTGGAATTGCAGGGGTGAGAAAGAAGTCTGCTAAAAATCTTTCAAAATTGAGTTGACCATTTGACTAATATTTTCTGAGAGCACTTAATGTGTGCTCAGAACATTTCACTCAGTTGTCCAGAAACCTGAATGTTCTGTATCTGAGCCCCTGTGCAAAGGCTTGGAATCCGTGGCTTGATGAGCAATGGCAGGCTGTAATTTCGCACCTGCACAGCTCCAGGAAACTTGCCTCCTTTCCTCCTATTTCCAAGGAATTTGCTTAACTCTTTCGGTGGCACCGGTCTCCTGAGCTGCATCTGAGGAAGCTGACATATGCTTTAGTTTAGGACAAAATGCTGCCAGAACAGAGGCAGTAATGCGGGCCCCCAGGGAGAAAAGTGCCTTCTCATTACCTTAAAAGTAGTCTTCCTGCTTCTTAGCTCTGTAGGAGCCCCTCTTGATCCCGAGGGTGGTGGAAATCAGAAGGAGAAAACACATCCTGGCAGATGACAAAATAGAGTCCTTTCCTTTGTTCAACTGCATAGCTCCTTTCCTCTCCAATGAGAAAGAGACAGAAGGCAAAGGGAGTTTGAACTTGAGTATTGACTTGTGTGTTCTTGGGAAGGGACTGAAGAAAGACTGGCATTTGGATTTCAAATGCTAGATCCCACTCAAGCTTTTGCTGGGTAGCCTCAGCACAGCCCCATTCTCAATGCTGCCTGTGCCATGCAGACACTCTGTCTATCATAAGACTGCGGTGGGAAGTGTTATGATAATTTCTGCCAAGTGTCAGTTTAATTTTAGCAACTGCAGTTTTCAATGCACTACAGCATTCAGCTGTGTAGACTCTGATGAGCTTTTCAGGCTCTGAGGAGAGAGGTGTGGAGCTGGAAGACATACAGACTGTCCCACTGGTCATATCAGCAATGGCTGTATCATCATTTGGGTATGCAGTACATTTCTTTTTTCCGGGAAGGGGAGAGGAGAGCATTATTTTTGAGGTCACATACAAAAACATTTTGGCTGCTTCTTAAACCCCTTCCAGGTGATAGATTGCTGTGCAGGTGGGATTGGTGCTCCCTGGAAAGCAGAATGAAATTATGACTGAGCCAAAAATCCATAGGCAAATCCCACTTCTATTGTGAATCAATGCTGTAAGAAACAAAAAGCTATATTAGAGGTATTAGTGCCAGTGGACTTTTGTATTATGTATGTTTAGAATTCCTTTACCTGTGGAAACAATGTTTTTTGATAATCTAAATGTTGGCCTTATGAGAAAAATAATTATCATTAGTCATGAGGGTTCTAAAGATCTTAATAATAGCCACTTATTTTTATTATCCCTATTACCACACATTAACACAATGGAGGCTGTAGGGAAGAATTTTTGTATAAACAACTATATAATAGAAAAATCTAAGAAATATTTTTAATGTATTCAGTACAGTTAAATTGGGATGTGATTTTTATTCACTTTCATTCCTTGCCCCATTCTGGTGCTCACTGAAATCATGATATTTTAAATATAGATTACTTAAATTTAAAATCCCCCAGGAAATGTTCTATCTTCTGGTTATATACTCATCAGCCCTTCTGGTCTATGTCAGTACCTCAGCTTTGATGCCCTTATTAGTCCCCAGTGATGATTTATAATTAAAATAACTTCAGAGCTAACATCATCTGAGACACTGCTTCAAATGTGGCCTGATTTCTTTCACAACCAGAGCGCCAGGGAAAGGGACATCTTGGAAAGGAGGCTGAAATTCTACTAGCTCTCCCTGCATCTCTAATGGCCAAATCTACCTTTATCTAATTGGGTGGCTTTGCATAAGTCATAAGATTGTTTGATCATTGCTTTTGTTACCTGCCAAGTATAGTGGTTCTACTAGATGGGGTGGTGGTGGTCCCTGGTGCTAGGGGACAGGGGCAGGTTTAATGGGAAGTGTCAACTCAGGTGAATGTTAATCATGGAAACCATTCTGTCTGAATGTCTTGCTCCCACACAGAAATTTTGGTCTATTGTTACCAGATCTTTCAAGTTTTTAAAAGCATCATCAATTCTGATTTTTTTTTGTCAGTTATGGGGCTTGAACTCTGGGCAGGAGCGCTGTTCCTCAGCTCTTCAGCTCAAGGCTAGTGCTCTGCCACTTGAGCCACAGTGCCACTTTCAGTTTTCTGGTAGTTTATTGGAGGTAAGAGTCTCATGGACCTTCCTGCCTAGGCTGGCTTTGAATCCCGTTCCTCAGATCTCAGCCTCCTAACTAGCTAGGTTTACAGGCGTGAGCCACTGGCTTCTGGCTAATTCTGAATTTTTATGTGGAATTACCCAATTTTTTTGGTTGGTAACTTAGTCACCAATATTTCTCTCTTTCTGACAGCAAGACAGGGTCAGTGGGTAGCAACCATTTCTGTTTCTAGGGGGTCTGATCTGAATGGCTCTTTAAATGGCCAGTGTCCTTGTCATGCATGTCCTTTGAATTTGCTTAGGAAGCAAACACAAGCCTCAAAAAACAAACAAACAAAACCAATGCAGTAAAGCCAATGGTGCATGCTTATAATCCTAGCTACAAAGAAGGCTGAGATCTGCATATCACAGTTTGAAACCCACCTAGGCAGAAAGTCCGTGAATCTCTTATCCCTAATTAACAAAAAAAGCCATAGTGAAGATGTGGCTCAAATGGTAGAGAACCGGACTTGAATGGAAAAAGCCAAGTAAGAGTTATTTGACACCAATAAAATAAAAATAAAGAATATTGGTAATTAGGCAGTTACAGGTGATAGCACATTTCTTTTTAATTTCTTCTGGGTTGTTCCATTTCCTCTAGATAAAGATTTTAAAAAAAAGTATCATGTTTTGTTTTTGCTCACAAAATGCTTTCAGGGGTCAGTGCATGCCACATGGTCCCTGAACTCATCTTGCTATGGAAGTTGTTGGTGTGGTAGCCTCAAATGATAGAGCGAGCATGTATGGCTTGTGACTCAGCACACTGAAGTACTAACAGGCGCCCGCCGTCTGGGTCCAGGAAGTAAGAAGTGGAAGCAAAAAGCAAGCTGTTTTGAACTTCAACTTGAAATATAATCCCTGCCATGCTTTTGATGAGCTGCAGGGCTTTTCTCTCAGATGCTGCAGAGTTCTGTGTGGGGTGGGGGCTGGAAGATGGGAGGGAAAAGCCCAGAGGAAAGAAACCCAGGCCTTTCTTTGCAGGCAAGTCTGTAGGTTTTGCCCATAGAATGGTTCCCTGGGGTCTGTAAATCCCAGCAAAACCCCAAAGTAAACAAATGTCCTTGAGAGATGGGCCTGGGGAAGCCACCAGGTCTCCAGATCCTGTATACACCAGCTGTAATATCAAGCTTCTTCACAGTTTGGATTCAAAAGTTTCCATTGTATTTGCTATTTATGCAAACATTCTTCAGTAAGTGTTTTCTGTTGGATTTTTAACATATCCTCAAGTTAAAAGACCATGCCTGAATTTGAAAGCTCTTGACTAAATTTTTGCTTTCCTTTGTTTTAAATATATGATGGGCTTATTGGGATATAATGCCAATGCAAGTAACTAAATATCTGTATGGGGTGAAGTTTTAAGATGAATTTTTAACATGATTATTTGAAGGACGTATAAACGGAAGTGATAAAAACCAACAGCTAATGAGCGCTCAGAGTAAGTCATGCCTGATAATCCTTCATTCCTGTGTGTGTGTGTGTGTGTGTGTGTGTGTGTGTGTGGTATGGCTACTGATATGGGTACTTGAACTTGCTGTCCCTGAGCTTTTGTGCTCAAGGTTAGGTCTCTACCACTAGAGCCACAGCTCTACTTCTGGCATTTTTTGGGCCTAACTGGAGATAAGACTCTCACGGACATTCCTGCCCAGGCTGGCTTGGAACTGTGCTTCTCAGATCTCAGCTACCTGAGTATCTAGGATTTCAGGCTTGAGCCAGTTGTGCCCATCCCTCCCTCCATTCCATCTGAAAAGACTTATGCTGCTAAAGATTTTGATTTTGCAAGATAAATCCACTTGTCTAGAACCTCCAACTGCTAAGAGGCAAAGCTAAGATTTGTTGACAGATCTTAGACTTAAAATATATATATATATATATTTAATTTCATTGATTTCAACTTGGTCAGGGTGTCCTGTAATTCTTTTTGGAGCTGGGGAGAGAAGCCAGGGCCTCATGAAGCTAGGTGAATGTTCTGACTTCCAACTGAGCTCCAGCTCTAGCACTTCCTATGATACATTTTAATGAGTACAATAGCCTGAAAATACAACAAATTTTTGGGTGAAGATGAGCTTCCTGGGACAGATGGAATGAAGCAGAGGTCATTCCACTCTGAGTGTTGTGACACTCAGGTATTTGAAAATACACAGGTATTTCAAAGACATTCATTTTCAGGAGCTAAAATATTCCAGGTATGCATCGCGAGTGGCAAATCTAACCTCCTGGCCTCTGTGTTCAAAGTAGCTTTTTCCCCTCATAACAAAAGAAAGCCATACCAAGTCTTGAGACATGTAAACTTACAGGGGACTGGACAAAGGTAAAAAACAATTCTAAACTTAGGTTTCAGATATCATAGAATTTCCTGCTGGATGCTGGTAGCTCAAATCTGTAATCCTAGGAAGCTGAGATCTGCAGATCACAGTTCAAAGCCAGTAGGGCAAAAGAGTCTGTGAGACTTGATCTGAT